AATGAAAAAATTCTCTTTTCTTTTTTTTTTTTTTTAAAAAATTTGTTGAAAAAAGTAAGTACTCACTCACAGCCCTGGTCATGTCATGGAAAATTTAGATTTAGATTTCCACCGATCGATCATCTTCAACAAGTGTATTAGAGTTCACCTCTGCTGAGTTCGTTATTAGGACAAGAACTAGACGCTTGTCTATATAATGTCTCATAGTTAAGACTACATGTCAGAGCAGAAACCACGTAATGAAGTCAAAGGAACAGGACTGTGTCAGGGCATGAATTTGAGGAAGCACGCAAAAATGTTTTGGCAGCATTAAGCATCCTGAAAAACACCGTGGTCTCCATTGTTTGTAAATGAAAGAGGTTTGGAACCACAAGGACCCTCCCTAGATCTCACTCCCCAATCAAACTGCGTAATCAGAGAAGAAGTGCCTTGATCAGAGAGGTGGCCGAGTAGACGGAGCTCCAGTAGTACTTAGTGGAGACGGGAGAACTATTCTGAAGGTAACCTGATTGGTGGCTAAAGCACTCCACCAATCAGGTCTTCATGGTACAGTGGACAGATGGGTGTGGCATTCTGCTGGAATTTTACCAGAAAGTCTATTGTCATTTCAAGTATCATGTTTTTGCGGGGGGGGGGGGGTTGCTCAAAAACTGATTAAAAAAATTTGGACTTTGAAGCATGGTGATGGCAGCATCATGCTATGGGGAAATTCATTTGTGCAGCAGATATTAGGCGAGTAGTCCTAGTAAGTGACTACTCGCCAGAGAGAGATTGTTCAAAAATGGCCCAAAGCACACTGCAAAGATAATAAATACATGGCTTCAGGACCAACCTGTCAGTATCCTTGAATGACCCAGATGAACAGAAATCCAAGTGAACATTTTGAGGCAGACCTAAAATAGCTGTCTACCAAAACTGTCCTTGCAATCTGAAAGGACTTGAGTGAGTCTGCAGAGAATGGTGGAATGATTGTAATAATTGCAGAAACGCACCAATTGCCATAAGATCTAAAGCTGTCAGTAAGTTTAAATACATAAAGAGGTTGACAGATTGCTTCACTGATGGATTTTTTTTTGTCCTTTAAGAACGGTGTCTTGATGTTTTGCTGCAGGTACTGTACTTGCAGGTTTGTTTGATTATTTTTTCTTCTTTTGTCTACAGAAGCAGATGTTAATCCTCACAGATCAGAGCTGCAGTGTTAGACTATATTCCATCACCTGTTGGGATAAATGACACCATATTGCCCACATATATTTGGAAGATTTTAGCCAGATAAAGGGATATCTATCACTTCTAAAGCACAACTGGTTCTTGTTTGAATTTCCTCCAACTTATTTGGTGTTGCTGTTGGTTTCTTTAAATCCATGATCAATCTTGTTGTTTTTTTCAGTAATTTTGGAGAAATATCAATTTGTACCATTATCATTGTTGCCAGGCAGTTTTCACAGTTATGGGAACTAATAATAATAATAATAATAATAATAATAATAATAATAATAATAATAATAATAATAATAATAATAATAATACCCTGGTACAAGATCCTTCTGATCCTTTGTACACTTTATACAAACTATGCCTTTAGCTATGAAAAATGTGGGAAAAAAACAAAACAAAACAAAACAAAACAAAACAACAACAACAAAACCCAAACAGGAAAATTCAGCCAGGAAAGCAGAGCTTTGATTTACATTAATCATATTCAGTATAATGAATGGAGGGAACTGAAGAAGACACGTTGTTTTCAGCAATCAGTAGATGCTGTGACAAAATATTAATTTAAGAATGCGCACCCTTATGTAATCAGAGAACTGCAGATTTTTATATTTTACACCCCCAACAATAACATGTATATTTTTTGTTGCTTTAATTTTCAGTTGTATAGATAGGGAAGAGGTTTTCAAATTGGTTATTGCTACATGTTTGTGGCGCTTCAACATGAATTAAGACATTAGACATTAAGCCAGGGGTGTCAAACTCCAGTCCTCAAGGGCCGCTGTCCTGCAGTGTTTAGATGTACCTCAGGTAAAAAACAGTGGAATGAAATGGCTTAATTACCTCCTCCCTGTGTAGATCGGTTCTCCTGAGCCTTGCTAATGACCTAATTATTCTTTTCAGGTGTGGTGCAGCAGAGGCACATCTAAAAGTTGCAGGACAGAGGCCCTTGAGGACTGGAGCTTGACACCCCTGCATTAAGCCATGAGTTGCTATTGTTACATAAGGTTGCAATGTCTCCTTATGTCCACAAGAGGGCTCGCTGACATAAAAAGTGAATATTTGTGACTGAAAACTGAAGCCTTGATTATGTTCAAATATATTTAAACATCAAAAAACGCAGATATACAAACATGGTTTCCAAACAAGCAAAGTGAAAATTCTGAAATACCATTGGGCGCAAAATGACAGCGGAGCATTCTTTCGGTTTTCATTTATTAGACTTATTTTGTATGTTCCATTGCAAACACTGTAAGAACATATTTACCTATAGTAAATTTGCTTCCTAAGTCTGTAAAAGAGAGAACAACAATTCTCTCCCCCATTTACAAGAACATCAGAGGAACAGAACAGTGCTGGCAGTGTTTTGAGTGGGAAAGGGTGTGGTTTAACTGGTTTTGGTTGGAGGGGGTGAGAAAGTGGGAGGTCTGCAGGAGGGAAGGTAAAACACCGTCATCTGCCTCCACTTACCAGTCTGATGTGCTGCTGGCTCCATGCAGCATCTCTAACAGCCACAACCACAAACTGTGAATGGAACATCCTGCCAAGTCCGGCCCTGTTTGCTCTGCTTCCAGAGCAATTTCTGATATTTAGCTGATGAAGGGATTTTAATGTTAGGCTATCTAGTTTTTATTTATTTTCTTTATTTTTGTTTTTTTCTTTTTCCTGAAGAGAAAAAGCAATGAGCGGCACTGGCAAGGGAGGAAGGGTGGATTGTTTTTCAAGCATCTGCTCTTGTCCGCTTGTTTTCCCTTGAGCTCCAGTGATGTGTTGAGGCTTTTCCTAGAAGAGGAAGCGTGTTGGATTTATTATGTTGTTTTATTCAACAACATCGTATTTTAGATAACTATCACATCAGATCCCTTGTGTCTGTTTTGTCTTGATTTGTTGTTCTTTCTTTTTTTTTTTAAACCAACATGTTTATTTGCAGCATGCCGTTTCCTGTTATCTTCCATCTTTTATGCTCTGAATAGCTTTCTTTGTTCCCATTCTTATGCTTTATCTATAATTCCAAGTGTGCCCTGCCCAGTCATGTTCCTGTCCTCATTCTCTGTAGTCCAATTTCACCCGTATTAAGAGAAACATCAGTGGTCTGAGGTCGTGCCTGAAATGTGCTCGACAGCCAAAAAAAAACACAAAAAGCTGCAGGCCAAATGTTCTGTCTTCTTAGGTGGCCTGATGCTGTTCACTTTTCAACTTGACCCTCATAGTTTTGGTCTGGCTGAGCCTCTTAAGAAGGAAAAACAATATTAGGACTAATGTAACCCATTAAAAACTGTGGGATATGTCAGAATAACTCAATTTTTAGGCTGAACCTGCACATTTTTTTTTCTTTTTACAAGAGAAATGTGATAAGAAACTTTAATATTAAATTTGTTTTAAAATTTGAACTAAAATGTATTTTTTTCTTCTGAACTGTACGCAAAAAAAAAAAAAAAAATCACACTATATTGTTTTCTAATGGAAAATGTGAATTCTTTTCTAGTCTGATTGTGACAGGAAGTTTTCCTTTCCTACACCGTAGCACTTACCTCTCAGTCTGCTGACCTTTCAGGGTGACACCTTTTAATTCTATATTTAGACTTTTGCAGAGTGATCCTGATCACCAAATCATCTCAGGCCAACAGGCCTCCTGTTGCGCCACTTTCCACAGTCTGCCAGTGGCACAGAACTCAATGTGCAGCAATGTTTACAAGATGCAGCCAGCATTTCTATCATGCCCACGAAAGACGGAACACTTCCCAGAATGTGGGGAATGCCTCTGTTTTCCACTAGCCAGTACGCTGTGGTTAGAAGATCCTTACATAAGCTGTGGCCTTAATGCCGACACCCACTGCTGCTGCATCTCCGCCTGCTTACTGCCATAACCTGATCAGGGTTAAAGGAAAGAGAGTTTCCATTACGCTAATCTAAATCACTCTTGTGTGTCACACACCAAGCCAGTTCTTTTAAAATTAAAATAAGGACAGACAAATTTCAATCAACACACAATTTATACAGATTGTACCCGTTAGCTAAGCGAAACAGCTCGGTTGCGCTGCAAATGCTGAAGCATATGTTCTCAATGTTGTGTAACATTTCATATGTCGTTGCAATTAGTAAAAAAAAAAATAAAAAAAAAAAAAATGTCATATTAGTTTATCCTTTATTAAGTCTTTGACTCAGCTAACAGGAAAGTACTTACAGAATCTAGATAATTTTCTAAAAAAAATAATACTGTAATCTTGATAAAGTATCTTCTTTTAAATCTTTTACATACAAAATATACATAATTCACACATATATACACACACTGAAAAGAGCATTGCTTTGTTTTGTTATTAAAGCACATTAAAAGGGATGATCTGCACAACTGGGATTTTGCTGTCCAAACACAAACATCTGCACATGTTCATCAGGCAGAGAATGATTCCAAGTGTCTGTTTCAGCGAAATGAGTGATTCGGATTTATCTGCGCCTTTGCGAGTTTGAACGCTAACCCCCCCCAACCCTCACCCACCCACCTCTCTGAAATAATAAACCGCTCTGATATTTGGGCAGCTGTCTTAGGTGGGCGTGAGTTTGAGGTCTGATCATGGTTTCTTTTCCATTTATGAGGCAGCACACAGTAAGCCAACGCCATCGTTCCTAATTACTCCTCCTGCCAAGGATTCAGTCGGCTTGTATCCAGGGAAGGCGGCTCCAAACTCAGCTTCTTAGTCTCAGCAATATTCAAAATAAGTCAATTAAACATTTACACATTTAAATAAAACAGGCACAGATCGTCTCCTAAAATGTGTTTGTTGCAACACTGCAGCTTGTTATTCAGCAAATATCCAGGATTGTCATATTTGGATCCAGGAGAAAATTTATAATAGAATATGCTGAGTTTTTATGTTGGAATTCATGCAGAATTTTGAGGATTGGGGAGAGCGGCTCCAGTGCCATTTTGGAAAATGTAAGATTTTCCTCCATATCCATTTGAAGTTAGCATTACCACTGCAAATCACTGTAAACTATGTGACCATGAGTGCAGGACTCTTGCAGGCGAGCACATACTGTGGCTCCAAAAGCAAACACACAGTTCAAATTGGGAACGCTTCTCACAGTCTGACTGAAGGTGCCACAGTAGCCGCATGCTGCCAAAATCAGGCAATATAAACTACACAATGACTCATTTTATAGTTGGAGACAAAACATTCCCAGTAGACAAAATGTTTGGAAAAAAAAAAAAAAACACAGGCTGTGAATAAAACCAAGTTATAATCTGAACAAAAAAACATTCGGATTATTGTCTATATCACGTCATATTGAGAAGCTATCCAAATATTTTTGCATCAATAATCTTGAAGTGTTTATGATTTATAGTGTGGGACTGGAATCAACTGAGAGTTACCGAGTAAGTCTGCAAAGACAAAAACAAACACTGCGGAATTGTAACCTTTTTATTTAGCATTTTATAAGAGCTCAATAATATATACTCTTTTAAATAAATGGCAGACAAAAAAAAAAAAAGAAAAAAAAAAAAAAAACAAAGTAGCTTAAATGCATCTGAGCAGCATCCGACCCGCATAACAAACAGGTGTTTGATATGCGAGTTTTTCCAAATTTTCTACATAGTTATTTTTTTTCTCCTGTGATCCAGAAAGTTTAAAATGTTTCAACTGGCCAAAACCTCCAAACCGCTTGTGTTTGGTTACAAGACTCTGCATGGACGTCACTGACCCTATGTGAAGTTCTGCGCACAGAATACCTGCAGAAGTGAAAGACAACTCAGAAAAAAAAAATAATAATAATAAAAAAAAAATAAAAAATCAAGAGACTGGGCTGTCATGCTCAGGTTAATGTGCTCAGTGGAGCTGCTTATGACTAACAGGTAATGTTTCAGCAGAGAAGTAAGAGGTACGCCGGTTATGTTGAGCCCTGAATACAAGCTTCACTTCTATTTGTCAAGTGAGATTTTAAGGTGGTGAGGTGGTGTGGTAGCAAATCTACTGATGAACTAGGCATAAGTGAGACTAAGCTCTCTGTGTCTGCGAAACTGAGTCAAAGAGAGCACATCTTCATTCCAGTACTCGTAGCTGCAGGGTGGATCTGCCACTGGTAAACAGATTTGACAAATTCTAGAAGAAAAAAATAAAAAATAAAAAGAAAGGTTCTTTCCCTTACAAAATGTGCAGATTAGGTAAAATGATTAAGAATCCTGAACAGTAACATTAAACCGAACAAAGTTGCCTTCTAATTCGGGTGGATTTTTGTGTAGAGACAGCTATATTCACCGCTATAGCTACACTTTTGTATGAAGCACTAAGATACATAATTTAATAGAGATGCACCAATTAATCACCCAGAAATCAAAATAGTGTCTTGACTGGCAGATCAAATACTGAAGAATCCATTTTTTCCTGATACATTAAATGCATCACAATGGAGAACTTCAAATATTTTTGAAGCATGAATAATTTATTTTTTATTTTTGATGCATTCTTTTTCCCAGTTTATTAAAAAAGACAAAGAAAGGTTAGTGACATTGATTTTGATCTATACCTCTACCAAACCCCCTCCAGAACATTTGTGTTATTTATACTTCTATATTCCTTTATTGGCCAATAAAAGCCCAATTGGTGCATCTCTATTATTTCATTTCTGGGTTTCTAGCTTATTGATTCAGCTTGTGTGAAAAAAAAAACAAAAAAACAGGCTTTTATGCTATGAAAAATTAATTATGATTCACATGATGAAATATAGGCAGTCGTGTATAAGCCAAACATCCACTATGGTATGCTGCTTGAAGACAGCTTTACAATTATACCTCGATGTTTGGGTTAAACTCTAACTTCACTGATATCAGATGATTGTACAAACTTTAACACCTTTAAACTACCAAATGTCTTTTGTCTCTGACAAAAAAAAAAAAAAAAGCAGCAAATGTTTTTTTGTTTTTTTTTTAATTTCCTTGATTTGTTCCATCACTGCAGAGAGAAGGATCAGATTAAGCTCTGGAAGGGGACAGGAAATTCCACAGTTAGCAATGACGCTCCACATAGAGTCCAGATAGTTGAGGAAGCCCAGTCACACACTGGTTGTGCAGGGGTGGCGCAGTGAGGAGAGGGGAGAGATAAGTGCTGGCTGGGCCAAGGAGGTGGAAAAGGGGCGGGGGGGGAGGGAAGTGGAGGGAGTTTCACGTCACCACTTGCTGCACTACTGAGTGTTCATGAGGGCAAGACTGGTCCCTGCAATGCAGCTTCCTGAGCAGCCGCTGAAGCTTGCCGGAGAAGTTTTTGTTCATCTGTCTGTACATGAGAGGCATCGCAAAGCTGCTGGAGAACGCCAGCAGCTTTGACACGCACCTCATGAAGTGATAGGAAGGCAGGTAATGCCCGTTGCTGATGTACCCTGGCGCACCGGTGATCGTGTGCACCAGGAGGGTCATGTAGTACGGGGTCCACAGGACAAACTGCACACACACCGACGCCAGCAGCAGCCGATGTATAGATGGATCCAAGCGAGCCGAGTCCTGATCCAGAGGAGTGGACTCCTTCCTGATGCGCAAAATGAGCACGAAAGCGTAAAACACGGCCACGGCCGGAACGGCGTAACCGATGAACATCATGATGGCGTCAGCCGCCTCCTTGTTCTGCATCTTGGAGCACTCGACCATCTTGGTGGAGATGTGGTTGCACACGTAGAAGAGCAGCGAGGAGAAGCTGGTCAGCACGGCGCCGCCCCAAATGAAGCCGCACACGTGCTTGGTGTTGTAAACGCTGGACATGTATGTCCGCGGCAGCGCCCGCTCTATGTAGTAGTCCAGGCTGAGCAGCGTGGTGGAGTACATGATGACCAGGGATGAGATGTTGAAGAGGATGAGCAGAGTGATGTGGACCTCGTCGTTGTACTCCCACGCGTGCCAGCGAGTGAACGTGGAGCTGAGGAGCTCCACGGGCGCCACCAGGTTGAGCACGAGTCCCGCGATGGCCATGTTGACGAAGTAGACGTCCGGCATGGTCATGGAGACCTTGTTGGAGAGGTTCACCGCAACCAGCAGGATGTTATAGCACAGCCCCAAAGGGAAGCAGACCAGGAGGTAGACGAGGGAAAGGATCGACATGATGAGGCCCAAATCTTGGGAGAGCTGGAGGTCCACGATGGCTTCCGTCTCATTGTAAAGCATGCTGCTCCACATCGCTGGGCTCCAACGCTGGCAAAGCTCCCTCAACAGATCCACTGTAACAGAGACACAAGTTAGGGTATGGCAGTCACAACTCGAGGAAAACATTTAACAACGTTGCATTCATTCGACTGTTAACTCTTTGTTTTGCCTCAGTTATGTTTCTCTCCATACAAGCTACATAAGGTCTGGCATTCCGTTTGGCCAAGAGCATCGGCTGAGATGATGCTGCCATCAACCAAACGTTCTATCTCTCCTGCTATTAGCTTTCAACTTTCATGAACAGCAAAAATAATCGCACATCAGATCCTCGACCGGCCCCCAGTCGGCGTGACTGACGGCCGCTTGTACTGAGCAAGGTTCTGCTGGAGGTTTCTTCCTGCTAAATTGGAGTTTTTCCTCTCCACTGTCGCTACATGCATGCCCGGTAGGAGGGATTGCTGTAAAGTCAACAACAATGCACACGTTTGTTGATCCGTGCTCGTCCAGAAGGAGTGAACATTGCAAGACAGTGATTCGACTGCGAGTAATTAATTGACTATACTGTACTGTTTGATGACTAGGATCAATTGGAACGTATGTGGGATGGAACTAAAATTATTTTTCTGCAACTTAAGACAACGTTTGCTGTGAAACTAAATTGAATTTATAAGCAGAAAGATAAACAGAATGTAGGTGAGAGCTCGAGTTTTGTATTATGTATTCATAAGAACGCATTGTTCTGTTTAGTGAAACATACAGTCTGCTTTTTTTTTTTTTTTGCCACTTAATGAGCAGATTTCAGCTCGCTCTGTTATTGCGTTCTGTGCTGGCCAGAGGACCAGACACGGCCTTGACACAAAAGCACGTCAGCAGCGAGTCGGCTATTGTGCTCCGGGTAACGTTGTTAATTTCACTTCACTGCATCTGACTGGCTGAATACAAACGCCTCACAATATGTTTGCAGTTCAGCCTCCAAACCCACACCATTTCACCCTTACTTGGCAGAGCAAAAGAAGCCCTTGCTCTGATGGCAGAACACAAAACTGTATTTGTCTGACACCATGGCGAGCTTTTCCTGTCCTCCTCCGACTCAGAGTTTCTTTGTTGCAAGTAGGAACGGCCTTGCAAACGTTTCAGGTGGCCGAGGAGAACTGAGGTAAAAAAGAAGAACACTTTACGTGTAGATTTGTTGCTGCTGCCGTTGCCATCAAAGCTGAGCGCACTGATCTTCGATGTTCAGGTTCCTGCCAAGTTCACCCGGCTGGGAGTGTGTTGATGGCTGGATTTATAACAAGTGAAATGTGAGGCAGGCTAAGTCGAAGGGTCAGTGGACGAAAGAATTTTAGGCTGGAGTTCAGGGAAAGGTTACAAACAAACTAAAAAAAAGGAAAAAAAAAAAAAGGAATGCACACGTCAGACTGGGTTGCAGATTGGCAAAAAGCAATCATAATCCACCCGGGTGATATTAAATAAATTTGTTACCAGGGTTAGGTCAAGGAAAATGAGATTTTACAAAGACATTGGCATCCTCTCAATTTCATTTCCATTTGTTTAAATATGTTCACCTTCCTTATATAAAAAAAAAAAAAAAAAAAGCATAATGTTTCTGAAATTATGCTTTAGGCAGTGACTTGGAGAGAATTTTCATGGAATCTCTCACTGGCACTAAGAGCAGCGAATGGAGTTTTGTTTTTAGGGCGATGAGTAACTATGCCAGTAAAAGGAAAACATTCTTCCGTTCACTTACATAACACCACTACAGAGGGGCCGTTTTTGGCCTTCAGCCTCAGACACGCATGCACACTACGGCCTACTCTCTGCTCTGTAATGAGCCTATGGAGGAGGCTAGAGCTCAGAGCTAAACTAGAGCCAGATCGGGGAGGCGGGGGGAGAGTGTAGAGTTACTCCTTACAAAAAAAGAGAACCTCGTCACAGAAGCACTGGGTAGCCCTTTTGTAAACAGCAGCTAGGTGACTCATTGACTAAAACAGACACTGATAATAGCTCACATTTAGCAATGATCCAGGACCATTGATTACCTGCTATACCTTGAACATGTTCTATAGTATCTCTGCTTCCTTCACCCCCTTCCATAACCTTTAATTACTTCAGGAGAAAATGACTTTAGGGTAAGTTGGTGCTTATTAAAGAGGGTCTGCTGCACCACAGCTTGCTGTCCTTATTCATTAGCACCTGCTTTATGCAGACATTTATGCCCCCCGCACCCCTTTCATTAACACATTGGCTCCCTTCAAACTGCTAATGATTATCTTTAAAAAGCTGCCTTTTTGGGGTTTTTTTAAGCCCAACAGAAACTTCCCCATTAGTACTGAATTGGCTTAGCTAAACATCACAAGCGAGGAAATAAGCTTCCTGTTTTCCAGGACAGCACACACAGTATGTAAAACAATCACCTTATTATCTCTCACTAGTCTGAAGGCACAGTGCACACACAGAGAGGATGAGATGTCCTATGCAGCTTGTGGAAGAAAGTTGGCCAAGGTTCTTTTCCCTAGTAAAGTAAGAAAAATGTAAAAAAAAAAAAAAAATCCAAATCAGAAGGAGCCTTGGATATCTTGTTTATGAGGCAATGTCACAACCAGAAACAAACATCGAGCAGGAAATGGAAGAGCAACGGCTAAAGCAGCAGATGTCAACAAACGTCCTGCAGAAATTATTGCCGCTATGTTTGGTGTCATGGCAGCTTATTCTGTTGGTTAACTACAAAAAACATACCTAATAAATAAATGACATCAAGAGGAGGTTTATATATTCATTATTTACGCTGCTTAACAACCGTAACTAAGATCAGATGATATATTTTTGAATAATTTAGCCGCAATGTTTTTTCATGAATAGTCTTAATAAGAAATACTGCTTCAGACACAAAATGGGAATCCCATTGTGCTGGACTATTAGCTTATCATAGAAACCATTTGCTGTGAAAGTAGTCAGAAATATGCTGGTACAAATTAACTCATGATCCTTGAGTTAATTTGAGTCAATATGAATTTTGCGAAAACATCCCATATGAAAGAACCAAACTGGTCGAAAAAGGGTGAAATGACCAGCAGCCAATGGTTTGACACCAATTTGATGCCATCATTTTGAACCCACAAGTTACTTTGCCTGAGTCGATGCACCTCTCCCACTGTGTACCTCCATTTCATACCGAAACATTGTCATTGCGTCCTTTTGTACCTCAGGCTAAATTTTAGGTGGCAGAAGGCACCATTTTGTGATTTCACCATCCATCACCATCCCTTTAAAGACCACATGGTATTAATCTTCTGATTGCTTTTTCAAGCAGCATTATATGGTAATAATTTACTACAACATCCCAATCAGACAGAGCACCTCTGAAATGAGTTATAGCAGCAGATTCACTTCATCAATGTGAATCAAGGTAGACTGCATGAAATCTCTTATTTGATTTCAAGCATACATCAACAAGGTCAGGACAAACAATCCTATATTCCATTATAAGTGCATGTAGAACTTTTTTTTTGCAGCCAATCTGCAAGATAGATCAGACAAAATGGAAAAGAAAATTAAAAACTACATAGTTTTATAGGGAATTTGAAATATAGTTTGATAGCGAGGCTTCCTGGTTTTGAATGTTTTAATATTTTCTTTCCAAGCTATATCTACCAGGGTATTGTCACAGCCATTGCACTTCAGCTATGCACATTTCGCCAGCAGCCCATGATAATGAGAGCTCGAGTTTTCCACTCAGCTGGGGGGAAAACAAGCGAGGTGCAAGTTCACGCTGTATGAGCAGTGTCTGCTTTAATTTGGCGTCATGAGAATCCTTCCTATCCAAGCCTGTTCTGGAGTCTGGAGGTGGGGGTGATGTTTCTGGGGTTGAGGAAAGGCCACGGAGACGAGATGAACCACAACAGGCACTGGATTCAGATACTGTCACAACAAAAATACAGACTTTTCTACCGTATTTCTGTAAATAATGACATATCACATTATGTTTCATTGTGAATACATCTTTTAAATAACCTTTCCTGCTGTTGAATTAGATTAGTGTTTTTTTCAAAGTAGTATTACAGTTCAGTTTACTAAAATGGACAACATGTGTATATCTGAGTCTTTTACTTGATGCTTCCAGCATTAAAACAACCCAAAACAAAGCCCCGGAGGCATCTGCTGAGAAGATCCCTTCCATCCAACCCAAGTCAGACATGAATCTGACTTGGATTAGCTTCATCTGAACTTTGTAAACAAATCCATGTCAAAATTATTTAAACTAAATACTCCCAGAGGGGAAGACCGTGTTTCAGCATGCGCCGGACCCATCAGTGACGCCCGAGTGCCTGACGTCTCGGCATTCTGAAGCCAGAAACCCGGCAAGCTGATGAGAGCAGTGTGACATACTCAGCCCGCACCCCTCGTATATGCTTACAGGAACTTGCAGCCTATTCACAGAAAGTGCTGGATGACGTCACGTGATTTCCTACTTGCGCCTGCAGAAGAGCAGTAAAAGCCGCAAAGCCCAAAACGGCCAGATAAGATGGCATGAACAAACTATGCATTTGTGACTTGAAAGAAGAGCTCAAGGCATTTTGTGAATTCATCTAAATCACCCACAAGCAACAGACATTCATCAATCATTAACTTGCTGGTTAGTCCACACCTACAAAAAAAAAAAAAAAAAAAGCTGAACTAGGAGCAAGTCATTGTTTCGTTTCTTTCTCGCACAGAGGGCTGAGCAGCATCGAGCTGTAATTTG